AAAGACACAAGTGACCCCCCTTCCCTGCAGAATGCCCCATTGTGCACTAGTGGGGACATTCCCAGCTTTAGGGTACTTATTCTGTCGATGTCACCATCTGAACCCGCGCACTCCCTCGTGTTCGGTTCACCCTGGGTCAAGCCTGATCTGACACAGCCCTCGCAGCTCCACCCAAAGCGTGATTTCCCATGAGGTCACGCTTCGCAGTCCCTTGTCCCGTGGCATGTTGTCAAACGAATCACTAGTGGCAGATTTCCACACACACACGGACAATTGTATTGACCACATCGAAACTCTGCCGAGGCTCTTCGCCTTGGGAAAGCTGAGCGCATGCGACAGGATGCGCTTCTGGAAAGCAGCCAAACGCTGCACCCTTCGAGATGTCCCAGTTTCGGCAGTCGCATCGATCAAGTGGTGCTCGGGCAGGCCCGAGCCAGAACAGCTCGGATCAACAATTAGCACATCCACCTGATTCCATGGAGGAAGCGCTGGATTTGTGTCGAGGAAATCGCCGACATGCACATCTACCTCGACTCCCTCTGCCCCAGTGGCACCACCAGCCCAGCAACGCCCTCGTATCTGCGACCCCCATTTCAAGACCGAGACCTCACTCTTTGCTTCCGGTCCATATCTTCCCTTACGCCTGGGACTCTTCTCTGCAAAGCCAACCAACAGCCGCAAGCGCTTCAGGAGGGCTGCCGCGCGTTTGGGATCCCTCTCGAAAGCAGCCAGGCGCCCGCGCGCCTGAAGCAGCTCGATGGCATGAGCCGTTTTGCTACCAGGGGCTGCACAGGAGTCCAGAACGAAGCTGCCAGGGACCAACCCTGCGGCCAGGGCCGACAAGCAGCTGCTCCGATCTTGCAAAACCAGTGCTCCGCTCTCCACTTCCGGAAGCTCCCGGAGCCATCTCCGCGAGGCCGCCGGCAGTCGGAGGACGTTGGGCACCACAGCGTCCAGCTCCACGCGAGTCGCCTCCGCGTGCTTCGGCTCGGATCCGGCGGCCCTTCTCAGCGCCTTCGTCAAACGTCTCCTCAGGACCTCCAAGTCCTCCGCCAGCTGCAACCGGTTCACACGGACGTAGCGTGGCAAGGAGGAGAAAGCCTCTCTCTGTTCCGACAGGACCTCACTATGCTGGCTCGACTTCTTGAAAGCCGTCTGCAGCTCCGTTGCGTGGCCCTCCAATTCTCGTCGCAGCTTTCCTCCTCCTCGCAGCCCATGCCCCAGAAGTAGCTCGTAGGCCATAACCAGCATCATGCCATGAGAATGGTGATCCAGGCCAACGTGCTCGAGGGCTTCAGCTATAGCCGCCTTGTTTGACAACGTACACGAGGAGAGCTTGCAGACTGCCCGAGGGTCCGAAGAAAGCTGCTGGGCGTAGAGGGCAGCCTTCAGAAACACTTCCAAAGAGCTCTCTGCAAGAAGGACCCACAGCATGCTGGAACTCAAGAGCTCAGAATTTATTTATTGTTTCATCATGTCCACGTCGTCGATGGACTCCATTAATTGAAGGAAACAGAAGGGAGAAGCTGAATGCATCAAAACTGAAACAGGCTTTGATACCTTCGCATGCCTAAAGAAAACTCTGTTGTTTGAACCCGGAGCTCTCTCCAATCACCCTAAAGAAAACTCTAAATCCTAAACCCTTGGTAAACATGGGTAGTGCTCTAAATTAGAGTCCCCCTGTTTAGGTCCCCAATATAGTCATCTAGACCTAGACCGCTAGGACAGATCATATCAGCCTTCAGGCCGGATCGGCCGGACAGCACGTCGTCCACAACCCGGCCGGCTTCCAAGTAGATTTTGGCCATGGCAGACGAAGGTCCTACATCCCAGGCCCCCGGGAGGATCCAAAAAGTAGATCCTTTAATGGGGGTTCCTATAAAGAGTCCCTTAGTAGTATAGGGTCCCAAATTAGGGGATCTACTTTTTGGATCCTCTCGGGGGTCTGGGATATGACCCTATGAGAAGCTCTGAGAAGCTGTGAATGATCAAGATTGACCCACTGGGAGGCACTGCAGGGTTGACATTGGTTGACCAAGCACAAACGTGGTGCCGATCTCTTTGCAATTCTTTTCAGGGCTCGTCGCTCGAGCCACCGGGGGAGCTCCAAACAGACGTGTTCCGATCAGAGAAGGCTGAACGCCCGGACTTGCTGCATCGGTTGACGCGCCAGCTCGGAGCTTTTTCTGAAGAGCCCTCCCAGTCGAAAGACTCCCAGGGAGGATTGCCTCCCGCCTCCCGGGCGCGATGGTCCTTCTCTGAGCCTGGCGATGGTGCAGGCGTCAGATATGCACCGAATTAGACTGCACAGCTGCGGGCGACTGGCGTCGAACTCTCTTTGAGAGTGAAAAAAGCATCGCCCTAAAGTGCCGGCAGAAAAAACTGCACAACGAATTTGGGACTCCTGAACTTGAGGCTTGGAGACCCCTCTTGCAATGAATCGAAGAGGATTGTCCTCCCCTTCTGAACGGGCCTGAGATTTCGGGCCTGGATTTCTCACCTTGTCGCTCTCAGATTGGTCTGTTGAATGGGAAATTGCAATTGCGAATGCAGGCTCTCACGCTGGGAAGGTCGGCTGCCCCTACGTCGATTTCGCATATCCTCCAAGATCTCCAGGACGTCTCTCCTCAGCTACCAGTTCTGATGCGTCCACGGATGTTGGATGAATCGCGGCAGGGAGCATCTTGTTCAGGATGTCTTTGACGTCCATCTGCATGACCTGTCGATCGGCCACAAGCGCCGGACCCTAGCTGTGGCAGGCTTCATCCGGCCTAGCTGCCTAGCTACCAGCCGGTGGTGTGACTTCAATGTGCGCACCTGAGTATGGAGCGTGGTAGCCTCGCCAGACAAACGGTAGCAGCCGGAGACGAACTCGTCAATGTTGACACCATCCGAGCCATCGCCTGGGATTAAGATACTGAGAGCCCGTTCACCCGCCCGGTCCTCACCACCACCTATTGCAAGGCATCCAATACATCCTGCATATCTCTATCTCCCAACCTCAGGAACCAAAGCGGCTCCCCGTTTACGCCTGTGGCCACATTCGAGAGATGTCGAGTGGCTGTCCAGAAGGCGGAAGAGGGTCTTGGCATCGCTAACGTCTAGCTTCAGCGTGTTGAAATAGGCGATGACAGCCTCGTGGTTCCTGAATGAATCGGATCTAGCTCCAGAAGTTCGCAGTGACATAGATATAGGGCTTTAAGGGTTTCTTTTTGGGCTCCGGGATTGGCTCTTTCTTGGGTTTGAAAGCACACCCGGAGTGTAGAATGCTCTGTCTTGAGACACGGCATGAACACAATACAGATGCCCGAAAACCCTAAACCATTTTACACCTGGACTACGCATATGCCAGGAACCGAGGCGCCGACTGTGCTGTGGACTAAACCCTAAACCCTAAACCGAGCTGGCTGCTGCCGGGTTACAGCTGACTTTCAAACTCCTGCTGTGTAACGGTGCCATCGCCACTGGAATCGAGCTCGCTGAAAACATCCCTGATCCAATTCATGCCTGAGATTTTGCGGCTTTGACTGTTCTGATCAAACATTTTCTAACAATAATAATAAGGATAATAATAATCATCATGATAATAATAATAATAATAATGATAATAATCATAATAATAATAATAATAATAACCATAATAATAATAATAATGATACTAATAATAATGATAATCATAATAATAATAATGATAATAATAATAATAATACTATACATTCAGAAGAAGAGTTGAAATCATAAGAAGCATGGTAACAAGAATGCCTCCGCAAGTTGGTGTGCAGCTGGGCGGCGCAACCTCTTGTTCCGCAGCTCCTCCTGAACCGCCAGCTCCTTGTCCGACTGGTTCTTCTCGATCGCCGTGTCGACGAAGACGCCTGCAAAGGAGGAAAGTAGGGACTCGTTCGGAGTTCGCGCAAGAGCCCCAAAACAGCGCGAAACGCTCTGCCTGTCACGACATTGAGAACGGCGAACAGGGCAAAAGTCACGAAGAAGAGGAATAAAAGCCTAGACCGCAGGGAGTGTTCCCGTGCACTGAAGGCCATGCGTCCCTGCAGTGTCCGTTGAATAAACAAAGTCCCAGGGGCTGGTATGGCCAGGGCAGCATTTCCAGGACGTGAAAGTACCTCGTCGAGAAGATTGATCTCAAAGTCACAGGGCGAAGTTGGGACACATTTGCAGCACAGAACAAAGATTTGCCTAGGATGAAGAAACACATATCAATTTGCCCCTCGTCCATCCTCGCCGGGATGTTGATTCGCTTGAATCGTCCCTGTGTCAATGAGCCCACCCATTTGGCCACGTGACACTGTCCAGTCTTCTCCTCCGGACATGGAGCTGTAGAGTGTCAAAATGGAGCTGGACAGCGACCCAAAGTACCTCGACAATGGCACTTCATGAGCCATACACTTCACGGAAGTACCATGAATCTACCTGCCACCCCTAGTCCGCAGAGGGAACTTCTTGAGGTCTTCAGCGCCGACTGCTTCCCTGGGCAACGATTCGAGCTCCATCGTCACCTTTGCATGTCTGGGTCAAGTCGACTGGAGAACTGCCAGGACTGGCACCCGAAAACACAAACCGGTTTAGGGTTAAGGGTAGGGTCTGAAGGAAACGGAGTGCCCTCCAGTACCTGACAGGGACTGCAAGCAGGCCACCGCGCTGGTGAAGGTGATTCCAAAAACCTGTTGCTTCAGAGGAAAATGGAAGTGTTCACAGCTTCAGGCTCCAGTGCCCAATATAATTGCGGGCTGGCGGCGTAAAGCATGACACAGAGCACCAGGACGACCCAAAGCAAGTTTCTGGCCTCCGGAGTACAAATCTTCTCCGCTCTAAGCCCACTGGCAGGAAATAGAAAGCTTCTTACTGCTGACGGGCGTCTGAGCTGACAATCGAAGCCACCATCAGACGAAGTTCTCGAAAAGCCTGCAGGTAAGTTCTGTCGCTCTTGGAACTCTTACTTCCTTCCCCCGGCCTTCAGGACTCGGATTACCTAAGCACACTTGCAAGGCCGCGCGGCGAGCGAAATGATGCTCACCGAAAACTGAAGCTTGACGTGAAGCTGCCCTTGCTATGCGGACCACACGCAGCACGCGGATCATCCTCACCACCTGAGCTGGCAAGGGTTGCATGATGGTGCCGGGCTCATCCTCGTGCTCGCTGACATGATGCGAAGCTAAGACAGGGGCCGAAAAGTTCGTCATCAAAGCTCCGGTCTCAGATCCTGCAAGAACCAGCGTCTCGGTGACCACCTCCATGCAGCCGATGGCCACGACGAAAATGTCGAGCAGGTTCCACGACATTTCCTCGATAGGGCGACCATTCTCAGGACATCTATGTAGCACCCGAGGCTGCCAGCAGCGCACTGCAGCAATGCCACAGAGGTGCTTCGCTGCAGATGAAGAACAGGAACCCATCTGCAAGCCAGCGCATGACCAAATCCAGAAAGAATGCCACAAAGAACATGATCTGTGCGACCTCACGGCGAAACTGGACAATCAAGGGCAAGCACAGCCAACACAGACAAGGCCGCGATCCCCGGCACCTACCCTCTACAGAAGATGACGCCAAGTTGCATAGAAGAACGTGCGCTCAAATCCCTGATCATTTGTGTTGACGGTCTGGGCCAAGTGTTCCTGGGCTCGCAGAGGGAAGCACCGAAAAGAATCACATAGCATCCGAAAGAGGGCTACACCTGATGTGCAAACAATGTAAGTTCGCCAAGACTCTGTCTGCCAACCGACGAAGATAGCGTTCACTAAAATCAGCCCAGCACCTCGGTCACAGAGGATCTGGATTGAAGTCAAACCCAAAAAGGGTTATGCAGAAACGCACACGAGAATGCAGCAGAGCCGGGCTTCAACTCGATGCTCCAACATACGGGACTAGGTAGCTAGACTTTCCGAGTACAGTATACCTTACGGCTCGTCGAGCGCATCTGCTTCTTCCAGACGACTTCCAACGAAGGCTCTGGATTCCAGGAGCTACCATCCCATGTACTCCCTGGCTCTTAGTAGGGAATGGGGGGAAATCGATCCCTATGATAGTCTCCTAAGGTCCCCTACAGTAGTCCCAATAACCCTTTCCCCCATTCCCTACTAAAACCCGTCAGTCTATCCATCTGTCTATCTAGCTATCCATCCGTATGGCTATGTGTACATACGTGATACAGATTAAAAAACATAAATATACCCAGATAAGCAGACAACAAAGGCTTGCATGTGTGAAAATACATGTTCATAGGTATGTATATGTGATGTGTATATATATATATATACATAAACACATGTTTACATGCATATATGTGAGATTTATCAATACAAGGAGCTTCAGAGATTTGCGCCCTTGACATTACGGCGAGCCTATTGCTAAAGCCAGGCGGCTGTACATCTCATAGCCAGCGCTGTAAACGCACTTCTGCAACCACGACTGGTGAACTTCGCCATCATCTGTAGTCCTCGCACACCATGAGGGACTGGAAAGCCGATGCAAAACTTTAGGACCACCTGCTTGTTGACTGCCGTAGATCCGTATATCCCTGAATACCTGTAGCACTGGACCCATGTCTCAGCCAGCGGCCTGATGATCCTCCTGCGGGTTGGAGCTCTGGCTTTCTTCCTGCAGACACATAAACCCCAGAAGTCACACCAAGGCGGCTCGCGTCCGTGTGACGTCTCTTCTTGGGAGAGCGGAACTATCCAGCACAAGCACGCGTCCGCCTGAAGTCCCCGGCTTTTGAAGACGACCTCTGCAAATATGCTTGGCATGAACACCCCCAATCTTCATGCAAAGGATATAGATATTGCAGCTCTGAGGTTCAGGCCTGCGGGAACCTCCGGAAACCTCCGCTCGGCTGTCTCACAACTCTAACCCACACATCACACATCCCCTTTCATGCCAAAGTGGTAGAGTAGAAACTGGGTGCCTTTCTCATGAGATCCGAGCAGCTTTGGAGGACGATGCAGAGGATGACTCTGACGAAGAGTCTTTGCTTGCTGCTCTCGAGGGCGGCTCTGGTTCTTCCGAGAGAGGCATGACCGGCACGAAGTTGTTCTGTATGGTGGTCTGGGCGGCCTCATGCTTAAAGAAATGTCCTGAAGTGGAACCTGCTATGCTACGCTTCGAAGCTTGCAGCGGATGCTCATGCTCAGAAACGCTTCGGACTGCGGATGCGTTTTCACGAGAGAGAGATCGGCCGGGCAGCATCATCGCCACCGGTGACCATGCCTGTCAGTGCACAAATTGGGGAATCCTCACAGAGTAACTCCTCCACAATCGGGCCTGGGACATCCGGAGTTTCCGTCACCTCAAGGCCAGGCTTTTGGGAGCTCCAGGAGCCTATTTGCCTCGATGCCCACCAGGGAGGCCCGGGAGGGACCGGGAATGCGCGCCTCGCTCTGAAGAGACCCACACTTCAGGAGCGTCGCATCCACGTCCTCTCCAGGCCTCGGGAATGAGCTCTCCCAGTACGTCGGGAGAGTTTCATTCAAGTACTAGAAAGCTGCACGATGCATCAAGTCCTCTCTCTCTCTCGAAAGGATCCCTGATTTTCGCTGAGCACAACACTTTCAGACGATGCAGAAGACACTGAACCACCACCCCCCAAAGTCAAGATGAGGAGCCGCAAGCTGCGCTGCAGGCGCTCCAAGACCATCTGTAACTCCACAGCATGTCTCCTCGGTCTGGGCTTGGTTTTTGCCTCCACTCTCCGTTACTCTATAATTATGCACGCAATGCAGGACATTTACAAAGTCTGCAGGGTTTGTGGGCCCAGAAACCAGCAGAACCCGAGTACAGTCTATTGGGATAAAGAGTTGCGAAGGCTCTGTGTCAATGAAGAGATCTCGGCAGCGGCACCGTCTACGATGGCAAGATCGACCGGCGCCATCCTCCACGCAAGTTTGGGCAAGAAATCAGCTGGACAGGCCAAACTTTTCTGGCCTTCCACGAAGATGCGCTGACGCTCGACAGGTCAGAAGGCTTCGTCTTCTACAGGCACCGAAACCGGACTGTTTACGTGTTCGGCGAATCTCTGCTGGACGCACACACGCCTTCACCGTAGAAACGTTTGGATACTGTCGCCTCCTACAGGTCCGTCTGTATCAAGTGGACTCCCGGACAGCCCCTGCTTTGCAGGGCGCTGCCTTGAGCCTCTAAGCTGTTTCAAGGCACTCTGATGGCGCGACGCAGGCAGGCTTCCGGACTTCAGGTTGTTGGGGCTTTGGGGTCTTGGGCTTTGGACTCTCGCGCTGGCTCCTAAAGCTTGGCGAGATGCAGGCCGTTTTCAAGAAGGCCGGTGCTCTCGAGCACTGTTTTGGCTTTCATAGGCTGGCGCTCCGTATCCGTCGAACCCTGTGAACCCTAAGAGCTGTCACTTGCGGCGGCATCTTCCTCCGGCTCTTGGTTCGAGCCTACAGAGAAGTGCAACTTAGTGTTCACGCTGTCGCAACTCGGACTCCGCCAGATGAGGATCATTTGGCTCTCGCAGCTCAAACCACGGCAGGTCTCCACGTTCGACTAAGGAGTGACACAACTGCCACAAACTCCGAAAAAGCAGTCTCAGTCGCAAGGCAACTGTGCAGCTCGTTACTTCTTCGTGCTCCGAATGGGTCTGCACGAAGCAAGTGTTGCTTGCTTTCCCACCATTCGCCATTTCTTGAGCGAACGTCCCCTCAGAACGAAACGTCCGAGTAGATCTGCTCTAAAGCATGCACAGTGCAGAAACAGGAAGTACCTGACAAAAGCAACATCTAGAGGTTCCCACCGTCGTCCTTCACCTACGCATGTCAAAACTTGAGACCCAGAGTGAGGTCTCCAAGATTGTCGGATTTCTGGCTGACACACCTCCTTCTCAACCGACCGTGAGGAGCGGGATAAAGTGTGTTTGCCCAAAAGCATGGTATTCAGCACCTAGTCCTAGACATTTCGGCACTGCTAGCCTCTCGCAGTGTCAGTGCCGAGGTGGTGGGTGCTGCCCTCCGGAATCTCGGAGGCACCGGCAGCATTCTTTGTCCAGAGCTCTGCCGCTTGTTTCACAATGGATAAAGCCTGGATAGATGATGTCCTGGATCTTTGAAAGCAGGCAGTGGCTAGCAAGGAAGCTGCTCACACATAAATTTGCAATGCTTCCGCAAATTAAGGTAGTCTACTCGCCAAACCCTTGTGGCTCTTGTAGCCTGTGGCTTAACATCTGCTGAGTTGTGCGTAGCGGCGCTTCACTCGGCCAGGGCACTCAATCTTTGTCCACACGAAGTAGTAGTTGTCATACTTGGCCGGTGGATCCGCGAAGTCGAAGTGGTTCTTCACGCCGAACTTGTTCCCACGGCCCTGGCGGGCCGGGCACCAGGCCTCGTTGCCCTGGTGCGGGCAAGTGTCTGCGACCACGATTTTGATCTCCCGCTGGAAGATGCTGGCACCCGGCTGTGCCCAGAGAGGATAGGAAAAGGGGTGGGACGGAAGAAACTTGCCCTTGGCACAAGACAGGCATCCCATTCCCTGGGTTCCGCCATACGAAGAGGCATCCTTCGTGCAGTAGTGCCCGTCTCCGATACCATGGTCCTGCATGGACTCCGCAGATGCCACGGCATAGAAGCCCGTGCCACGCACCAGTCGGCCCGTGTCGATGGAGCCGCAGGAGGCACAGCAGGTGTTGCCATATCTGGTCGTGGTGGCCACATGGTCGTAGCCGGCATGCCGGCGCATGTTCTGCAGCTCCGAGAGACTGGGATCCGTGCTCCAACGCAAGGTTGCATTCTCCCAATACTCCTCCCGTCGTGCCGCGCCGCCGGGGAGGAGATCTTCTGGCGCTGGGCCTGACATGTTCCTCGGGGCTTCTCCCAGCCGTGCATGCACAGAGGGGGCGAGGGCCAGAGCTACAAAAAACATCCTCGCCATTGCGATGTGAGGCCGGGGGAACTGGGCGAAGCGAGTGATCCTGAAGCACCAAAGGGCTTGAGCCGTAGCAAAGCGCCCAGGGCTAGATTGAGATTTACGCGGGGCCTATAATCTGCCATGACATGCACGAATATGTACTAAAAATCCCCGAACAAACCATGATATACTATCGCATGCTACAACGAATCCCACTGTTCGCGACAAAAGGGTTCTACCAGATACTGCAATACATTCTCAGATCTTCTATTATTCTCCAGTTGGTGTAACCCACTGCAATTTACTTTGAAATACTACACTATATACTATAAAAAATATACCGTACTATAATATCCTCGCTGCAAGACTTCAACGCCAGGCCTTGGGCCGCCTCGGGCTGCGGCTCCTTGGAAGGTCTACTTTTTGGTGTTTTCTGGTACAGGGTTGAAGGATTTTGGGGTTTAGGGTTTAGGGTTTAGGGTTTTCTGGTACAGGGTTGAAGGATTTTGGGGGGGGGTTGGGGGATGCCCTCGCCTCTGCTTCCATATCTGCTGCACTGGAACCAGCTCCTGCAGCCAAGGCGGGGTAAACGAAGCTACTCAAAGATCCGAGCCCACGGAATCACAGGGCAAACATCCCGGCCTTTGGAATCGCCCTGCTCCTGCAGCCGGGGCCAAGCCAAGCCCTAAACCCTTGTGCAACGGCCTTGTCAGATCTCGACCAGACTGATAGCCCGCAGTAGTGACTTCAGATCATGCTCTGTACAAACCTGGTCTGCCTAAACCCGAAACCCTTTTTTGCATCCCTAAACCCTAAACCCTAAACCCCAAACCCTAAACCCGAAACCCGAAACTCCTAAACCAATACACCGATACGCTGCCCTTCATGCGTTGCCCTTCGGAGGGTCTGGCCTTGGCTTCGGCCTCCGCTGCCGCAGCAGCCTTGGCAGCCTGCATATACAAATCGAATATACCATAATGCACTGCAATATACTACTACAATATACTATTATCTACCAAATATGTTAATACTCTACAATAGACCATGATATATTGCAGTGCGAGTGCTCAGTCTTGAATCCAGCTCGTGCCTCCTGGCGGAATTGCATCCTCAGCGTGGCGATCTTGTTCTTCAGCGCATCGCGTGACTCTTCGAGCCTCGTGCATGGATCATGGCTTCTGTCCGCTCTCAGAGCGTTGCCAGCACAGGACTTCCCGCAGCTTCGTGTAAGCCGCGCTCTGCTTCTCAGTGTCACGGGTGTGCTTGTTTGGAAGGAAGAAGATGGTAGGCTGCACCTGCCAAATTTTTGACGCACTGCAAGACTCCATCTCATGGCTCCATGGAATCCTCGAGCCTCTGTCCTGATGAAGTTCATCATCAGTGAGTAGTGGTTCCTAAGCATCACAAGTGCGCCGCCGAAGGGGATCGCAGGCACTCTAACGTGGCGTAACTCCATGCAAGTCACTCAAGGCGGCGCTGCAGCAGGAGAACTTCCTGCAATTTCACAGTTTCGCCGTGCATCGTCTGTCGTCCGGATGAAGACATGTTCGATGGGATTCTCGGCTAGTAAAAACCACCAACCGGGTCGCACAGAGAACTGTGGAGAACTAGCGTGGCAGTTCTCAATGCTAGCAGCTCGCAGCCCTGTCGGAATTAGGAAACATTGTGGCAACCCCACAGAACTCGGGCCGAGCAAAACGGCGGATGACTGCCTTCTCCTCAATCTGCTTCTCGATCTCTGCTGCCTCAGTTGGCCCATCTCCCATGCATGGCTCAAGGTCTCAGTCGCTAGTCGGCCTTCGCCTGCTCCTCTTGCAGCTGCTTCTCGAACCTCGCTCGAAACGAGGGATCAAAAAGCCAGAAAAGCACGTCACGGCTACAGAATCAAGCCTTGAAAACCTCAGTGCCTCCTAGAAACTGTCCTTTTCTGAACTCCTTGATGTTCATCTTGTTGAGGTTGACCTTGTCCTCCACTCTGCTCAGGGCCTTCTGCTGAAGTTCGCCCATCTTGCTGGTCTTCTCCTTCTGCAACCTGCAGAAAGACTGCACCGACTGAGCACCCTCACCAGCAGCCCACGCGGCAAAAACATGGCATCACAACACACCAGCATCCAAACAGCGAGAAAAGGTAGCTGCACTCGATCTGTCACGAAGGCACAGGCTGGCAAAGTGCCGAATGGGCTCGTGCCCATGCGCGACACAGAATTTAGCCGCCACGCCAATTAGCCGAACTCAATCGATTTTTGTCGTTTCGGGTGAGTGCTTCTGCGGAGGATCGAAACAGGCAACACTCCACGCGCGTGCTCACACACACACACACACGCACACGTGCCGTCTGTCCCTGCGACGACTGGTTCCGGTCCGACAGCGATCCCTATCTATGGTCACGATACATGGCCTGGAAGGCAAACTTGGCAGGCCTTTGTACAACACTTCTTCAGGACATGAAAGCTTTAGGCCCGGAACCTGTCTTTCGCCGAGTGAAGATGGCCCAACAGCTTCCCAAAGAGGTTGCGGCTTCTTGGGTCAGCTTTGGTCGGCCGTCCCTCCTTTTTTCGGCGTTCCTGGCTAGCTGACTGGTGTCACGCGAGATCGATGGCAAAGTATGAGTGAGGCAACCTCAATTATGGTGAAATTCACTCCGAGCCGCGATCTCGTCCTCACGCTTGCGCTTCTTTGTCTCTTCGCTTTCCTCCTCCTTCTTCTCTTCCTTCTTGTCATCGTCCTCGTCTTTCTTGTCTTCTCCGGCTTCCTGGATGAGCTTGACGAGGCGAAGATGGATTCGAAATCGCCCACATGAGTGTTTCGAGGAGGCAGGCCTCGCCATCTTCTTTCTTTTCATCTTGGGCATGAAGGGCCTGTAATCTCGCCCTCTCCCCCTCTTCACCTGGTCGTGCCAGGGGCAGCTTCTGTGAACGCCGGGGAGCAAGCATCAACCAAGAGCCACAAGCTTGGCATTGGACCAAAAATGCGCTTCTGGGTGGATTCCATTTTTCGGATGCTGTCATCCAGTTTCACCTGACGACATCATCCGACATGGCTCAGAAGGCTAAGAAAGCTATGCTGCACTTCATTGGGCTCTCGTGGTTTTCTGAGGTCCTTGTCTCGCCGGAGCTCTTGGATCTGCCGCTCCAGCTCTCGCCGCGAGATCTCATTTCCGTCCGACCTTCTCGGGCGGCTCTGGCACGCTCAGGGCTTCTGGACGAAGCTAAGTTCCCCGCATTGCCGCAGCTTTCCGCGCCTGATCGGCCTGGACTTACGCACCAAGACCGACAAAAAAACGCGAAGACGGCAAGCCGGGAAAAGAGTAAACGAGCAATGGCCGAGGCCCCCTCGGCTCCTAGGGACTTGGACAGTTAGGAAAGGGGGCCCTGCTTGAGCCCTTTATTGCAAATCAGTCGATCCATGCATTTTCACAGACCACATTCTGGCGGAACACCAAGTGCACAAGGGCGGAGCATGTATGCGTTGCACATCTTTGCATCAGTCGGGTGCAACCCCAATTGGTTTAAGCGGTGCTCTTTGGCACAAGATGCTAGCTGCTCAGCTTGCTTGCGGTTGAGAGAACACGCCGTCCTGACTCAGTTAAAGTCATCGGTACGACTAGCCAGTCTCCAAAGATGTGTGTCATGAAACGACCGAGGCAAAGAGCTGATGTCCTCCCCGACACAGGTTCCACAAGTTGCCAGTATCGCCCTGGAGCTCTCGAAGCTGCTTGCAGGGGAGTTTAAGGAAAACTCAGGCGACCCAAAAATGAGCCCAAACAAATGAATGAACCCATCCTGCACCCCCCAGTCTCTTGAAAGCCCACAAGCTCGGCAAGCTCTGCCTTCACTGGACTCAGCAATTGGCCCGCCAGCACCGCTCTGAGCCAAGTTCATGACTCTGGGCCCATCGGCTGCAACGAAGTCCAGCCAACCTGCAGAGGGGCAGAATACTCATGTTGCAATACATTCCATGATGTAGTATATTATATGTTATATTAATGTTATACTCCGAAACGGACCTTGGAGGTGAACAACCCAAATTAGTGGCATCGGTATTGCAGTAAGCCCTTTCTTAGCGTGCAAAAAAATATCAAATCACCCACTCCTAAGTCCTAACTTCCCAAAACTCCACGGCCTCGGAACAACTCCGATCTCGACTCCTTGCAACGACCTTCCATCAAATCTGCTCGGCTCTCGCCCGGTCTAAGCCCATGATGTGTGGCTAGCCACCAAAACCCCGACAGCAGCAGGAGGAACGTGTTGGGGTAGCCTGGGTTCTTGTTAAAGTTACTATAATAAGGCTTTATAGACATATCATGATATAACAAACAGAAAATTCCTTAACAAGAACCAGCAGCCTTGTTCCCGGGGTAGTTGACTCTGGTATGCCCTGGCAAAAGCCTTGATGTCAAGAGCCAGCTCGCGAACATCTGCCCCCAAGTCCAGCCAACTGCGCACCAGCGCATCTTTGGCATGTGCATGAGGGTCACGGCACGACTCCACCACGTCAAGAAGAAGGCCGGTTCTTCTGTGCCTCACGATCACGCGAGGTATCCTTGCAGCCATGACCGACTCGGATAGCTCGAAATCCTGCAACTTCTCGTTGCGCAGAGCCTTCAGTAGCTGATGGACAGGCTTGGATGATAAAATATCTACATCCGAGGCCTCATCTGCCAGCCCCAGAACCTGACTTCCATGGAGCTCAGCACCGGCATCGAAGCATCGGAAGGCCTCTAAGGCACGAGAGAGCTTGGAGGATCCTGTTGGAGGGCTGGAGGCCTGCAGTTGGCCATCTGAGACGTCGGTGTCCACATCGCTGCCGCTTCCGCTGTCTTCGTATCTTGCCAAGGCGGCCAGCCCTGTCGGTGCCGTCATGGCTGAATCATCACTGCCCAAAACTCTGGGAGCACTTGTTCAAGCCTGACTTCGGAACAAAATACGGCTCAAGCTTGCTAACTAGGCGAGTTGAGCACATTGGATGCATCTGTGAGCTTTTTGGCTGCTCAGACACTTTTGTCGTACAACGCCCTATTGGGCCAAGAAGCTATTCGATAGAGTTGCCAGGCACTCAAGAAGTACTGAGATATACTCGCGATCCGTCACAACATCCTCCACAACTTGGCTTGTCGCCGTCCTGGTGTGCTAGACTGTCTGGAACCTACGACCTAGTGGCTCAGTGTTAAATTTACGACCCCAGAACCAAAAACGGAACAACCAGTCAACAAGATACTTCAATGATCATAATCCCACAGCAAATCCTTTTGCTCACCGAAGGCCGTCTGGGCTGTACACGCTGAAGAGGACCTGCCTGCTCAGCACCTCGCACAAGTTTCAAGCAACAGAAAATCATTTGCCTTCGCCTCATCCGCGATTATGAGACGCATCACTTGCGCAGCAGGATTGCATGTGGAGCTTACGAGGCTGCTTTGCAGAAGCCGCCTTGCGGCTTTCGACTTGGGAGTGGTCCTTGTAACGATGCAGGCCGCCTGGATAGACGCGAGCCAGTGCAAAACGATGGAAACTGGGTGTGAGCTGTCTCTTGAATTTCCAGGCGAGCAGCGGCTTGGTTGGCCACCGTGCCAGTGCCAGCGCCAGCGCAAATGAAGCTAGCAACCAGCCACCTGCACACTGCCGACTCTCGTCGCTGACAGCTCCGCATGCTGCAACAGGCTCAACGATGAACAAGCCGCTGCTCTTCTCCTGCTCTTTTCTGTGAGGATGGTGAAACTTGGATCGGCCACGCCGGGCTGGAGCCGCGCCTTTGGAGATATGTACACTGGATGAACATAAGCAAAAAAAGCCTGCGGCCTGGAAGGAACAACTTGCAGTTGCTCCTACGAGTACCACAGCACTCTGCCTTTTGCATGTTCTGCTGCTCCCGCGTTCAGACGATCTGCCAGAGCTGCTGGATGGTTGAGCCTTCCTGCGCGACACACCAACTTTCTTCTGATTGTTCTCAGTATCATCTGATCTTGCAATGGACTGCGATCTTGCTGTGGGCTATGTCGCAATATGTCATGCCCTACCACTAGTCACCACAGTCCATTTATGCTGCATCGGGTGGTCATCCATGGTCCATGTCGTCAAACCGCACCATATTAGGAAGCGACGAGTAGACCCCAGTGCACGACTGATACTTCGGCGACCAGACCTCTGATGTTGTTTCAGCATGAGACCCCCTGAAGCCATACTTCGGAAGGCAGGCCTTGAGTCGCTCCACTGCGAGGCCAAGCCTCGCTTCAGGCATCTCTTCGGGTGTGCCGTGGTGTGGTTTGGCAGTTTGGGTTTAGGGTTTAGGGTTTAGGGTTTTGGGTCAGGGCGCCTGGCATTTCACTGGTTAAGACTCTTGGTATTCAAGTGGATTGCGCGCGCTCGCACTCAGCAGTTGGGATTTGGCATGCTTCATTTCCCGAAACCGCGGCAAGCTGACGTCCGGAATTTCTGCACTTTCCGCCGTTGCATGGTACACTCTGGACTAAGATCAGATTTTTTGCGGGAAGCCGGCTTGTCCAAAATCCAAAACTTTGGCACCTGCAGACTCGACGAACTGCACTCCCGACACATTGCACACACCTAGGGGTGCGAACCCCGCTCCCGCCATAGTCCAGTGCTCACCTTAGCCTTTTTTGAAGTTGCTCTGCAGGATATCCAAACTGCAACCGTTCTCCCGTCGTGCCGTGAGCGTTTCGGGGTGCTTCCACCAAAGCTTGGGGTGCTAGTGTGCTCCTTCCACGGTGCGTTGCTCTGTTTGAGTCCTGGGGAGCAGGTCTCGGGGTGGTCTCTGGGGTGCTCTTGTGCTGCAAGGCGCTCTTTCACTTTGGCGGGTCCGCACTGCCACGATCGTGTAAGGCGTGGGTTTGAAGCTTCTGTTGTTGTGGAGATACTGAATAGGGTAGCCACGTCAAGGAAGCAGTTGCGGTTTTGGGTTCACAGAACGTCCATACCACAATTCAGTTCAAGCAAGCAGCTCGTTGTTGTAGATGGGCTCTCGGTCGATCTCTTTTTCACCGTCAGGCCTCAGTCAATATCTGGCCTTGTACCCACGAGCTTCCGTCCTTATACATCTTCCCCGAGGCCCCGGGCTGGTAAAGCAAGCAAGGCTCGATATCATCACCCTCCATAATCTGCACGTCGTCCTGGCATCGCAGTGCCTTCACCTGCTACAACTCGGGCAGTCAGAGCCTGGCCTCCTGTCTTGGCACGAAATTCTCTTTTCCATCCGACTGCTTATCCTCGACGGAGAACTCAACTCCAAAGATCGGTGTTACACTGAAGATCTTCCTCAGCTGCAGAGCATCCACGCGTGCATGTGGGCTCTTCTAGCTGAGCCAAAGATCCACAGGTTGTGAATCTGGGTATACACCTCGAACAGCAGAAGTACCCAAATTCACAAGCTCTTCTGCCTACAGTATGCGACTCCTCGCGCGACACCCTCCGTGCCTCCTCCAGATGCTCCACCGGGTCCGCGCGGAAACCCAAGATGTACCCTCCACCTCGGGGACTCCGGGCATGATACGGCGCTGATAACCGAGCATTGCGAGTATGTGTTCTGTCAAAGGACTGGAGGCCGTGGTCTCTATGACCAGGGCTTGTCCAAACTTGGAGTTCCTGGGCACAATCAGACTCACAAATACGAAACAGACAGGAAGGAAGGGGATGGAAGGGGATGGAAGGGGCTGCCAGGCACGTCTGTATGTGTAGGCTCAGGCATGCCAAGCATCCGGACATTGATGCTCTTCATCTGCAGGTACGGGATGGACACCTGAACTGCCCAAGATGCTGCGTACTCCGTGGCCTTACCCTCAAGATGGGACCGGTAGGACTCAGGCATTGAAGTTTTCTGCCAAAACGGCAAACCAGACCGTGCGCACCTCAGACTGAACATCCGACACTCTAAGTCTCGAAAGTCGGAGCTGCTGCAGACACGATGCATTTGTGATGATGAAGGTGCCGAGGTTGCCTGATATACTGCGGACAAAAGTTGAAGTGTCATGTGGCCGACCAGGTAAGGCCTTGATCCGAGGACAAGTTCCAGATACCATTGATCTTCTCGTAGACCTTGAACCAAACGCAGGTAGTCTCCACAGGATAAGGAAACCCTCGATTCCCTGATGCAGTTGGCCTGCTCGGCAGAAACTCAGCCGCCAGCCTGCTCATTTGGCAACATGACGAGCTCTTTGTCCCGGATGATGGCCCCACGCAGCTTCAAGTCCTGATGAAACGTAGACGAATCCTACTGTGAAGAAGTCTGTTTCCACTCCCCCTCTGACACTTCTTTGGCTTATAAATCAAAAGCAAAGCAGAAAATGCACGCCAAGCAGCTCTGTACAGCTTCGTGGTTTCATAGCTTTTGAAGACAGCCTGCAAGATGGCTCCAGCTTCTGTCGCGAATCTTTTCATGCTCGGTAACCGCCTGAACCGTGGTGAAAAGGCGTGGGCTGTGCTTGACCTGGGTTCGGTCTGTGCGGACGGGCTTCAGGCAACAATCTTTGTGGAAGTTGTGGCTGTCAGCGTGAACCAGGAAAAACTAATTCGTGTGCCTACAAGGAGTCAGAGTTTGGGTCAAGCTGCGAGGGATGTGAAGATGAACTCGAATCGAGTGGAATTGAATCGCGTCATGACCTCCGCTTTGCAAAAACCGCATGCGTCACGAAGAAGTCTGCATGGCCACATCGCCACATTCTGAGGAGGACACATACAAAGCCTGGCTGTTGCCCCGAAGCCTGGAGTTCACCTTGAGAGTTGAGGATTTCTGCGGACCCCACTGCAGTTCACCGATCCCAGGTGATTGATTCGGTCATGTGCCTGATTGAATCATCCCAGTTGCGGTGCGAATGTTCACGCTCGATACACAGTTAAAGCCAATACCTGGAAGAGCGGCATGTCGGGTTCGGGCATGCAAACGGCGCGCAACTCGACTCCAAGCATTCTTTTCATGTCATGCAAGCCACTCAAGTTGGTCCTCGCGTACTTTGCTGAAGTCCATATTAACCTGCAGACAATGTGCCATATATAAACGTGCAGTCCGAATGTTTCTGGTCCCGAAACTGTTAGCAAAACATCTACGCTGTGCCTCAGGTTCGTGACAATGAGGATGCCCCTCTCGCCGTTGTTACCCTTGGTGTCCTTCGCATAGGCGTCGCTCTCTGCAAACACATCATGGAATGGAAGCAGGTGCAACAAACGCTCGTTCCAACGATGCTCGGAAGTCCTCCACTGAATTTATTGAATCAATCCTCACATAAAATGCAGGCTTTGATACTGCCCCAGTGCACACGGAGTCATGTTGCGTATGTCTCTGTTCCTACAGCGTGACGCTACTCTAAGAGCTACAATGCCCATCCAACCATAGCTATAGAGTCTGTTACACTCCTCAGCGCGCTGTGCAGACCGAGCTGCTGAAACTCACCCTTGCGCAGCTTGAGCAACTGCGGCATTTGATCAAACTTGATCCTCAGGCAACATTCGTCGAAACAACTGTAGCACATGTCTGTTGCCAATGACATGACAGAGACTAGGTTTGGAAGGGAGCCGCGTCTGGTCTTTCACCCCGCCGGGCGTTGATTCTTTAGCACAGTGCTGTGGAGAACATGCTCAACCTTAGTTGCACCTGCCAGTATGCATGATGTCGGCCGGTACCCGACAAGATAGACACACGGAAAGCGAAACTGGACACAATGTTCACGAAAGTTACGCAGAACAAGATGTGAAAGCAGTTCACAAGACATGCACTGAACTTAATAATGTGGACTGCTGCACTGCACTGGATCACAAGTTTTTGCAAGTTGTTATCATGGCACTGCACTGAAAGGCATCTGTTACTAAGGAATCGAACAAGTGCGAAAGGACCGAGCCACAATGCACAGAATGACATGTTTGCAAGTCTTCACATTAGCACGGCACTGAAAAATGCATGCACGCAAGTCGTCACAACTGCACTTCACTGAAGAACATGTGCAGCCAAATCATCACAGTTGCACTGACCAGAACTAGACATGCTAACGAGCCATCGGGACCGAACTACAAAAGCAGTTCCAAGAAGGACTTATCAGCGAATTTCCTGCCAGTAGCCGTGCTGGTATGCCACTCAAGAACGATTTAAAATCGGAACGTCATGTGCAACAGATTGCAGGAAGCCTCTCAATAGGCTTCTTTATGCCGTCTTTGAAGTGCAGAGCAGTGGCTCACGATCCTGCCATACCTGGCGCCATCACAGCTCCCTTCACCCCTTTTCAACTGTGGAGATCTCCAAAACTTTGCTGACTTCATTATCATATTATATTATATTATATTATATTATATTATATTATATTATATTATATTATATTATATCATATTATATTATATTATATTATATTATATTATATTTACATTATATTATAGTATAGTATAGTACAGTAGAGTATACTATAGTATACTATATTATACGATATTGTACTATATTATACTATATTATACTATATTATATAAATGAACTCCCGAGCCTCTTCCTGAAGCTGGTCCGGCGCGGACATGGTGCCAGAAGCCTTGCTGGCTGCGCCTCTCAACATCTTCGAGACAGTTTAGGGTTTACACTCTCACAACTCGGACAAGCCAGGCGAGGATCCATGTGCGACAGTCGGCGTGAAAACATGGGAATCGAGGGTTTTTCCCTCTCGCATGGCAGAGAACTATCGAGGGTTTAGGGTTTACGGTTTCATCCTCGGAATCCTTCTATCGACTTGGCGCCTGCCGTTTTGGTGGGCGCACCGTGCCACTACGCCATGGCCGCAGAGCTGATTGGAGCCAAGTCAGGCACAGAAACAAACATGCTGAGCACATCATGCCTCCACAGCTCCTGGGAAGACCCCACTTCAAGTTTCCAGCTTCTCTGGCTGCTGCGCCTCAAGCTCGGATCGGCGGCCATCTGCCCGACCTTGCAGAATGCGGCCCTGCATCCCAAGTTATGATATACTCCAAGTAGCATTGCTTGAAAAGCAGTGGGCGAGCTCTTTTGCCCTCTGCTCTCTCTGTCTGTCTTGCTTTACAGCCAGTGCCAGACTTTCTGTGCAATCATCTCTGCCATGATCAGGTACCCATCCGATGTGAAGTGCAGACCGTCGTACAGATGCCTCAGGTAACCGCACCGAGGATCCTTGCACAGCGCAACTCACCCAAGCAGTCGGCCTGGACGAGACTTCCGTTAAGTTCACGAAGAAGGAAGGAAAGCCTGAACCACGCTGGACTGTCATGTCAGGGCTCCAGAGGAAAGTCAATCCCACATGTGCCACCTAGCCGGGCTCTACCCCAAGCATGGCAGGCAACGGTAGTTTTGCTCAAGCTCGGCCAGGGCATCGTTCACCGCATAGAGCTTTCTAGCCGAACCCACCTGCCAGCAGGATCTGAAAGCGAAGCTCAGCCAAGCCATCAGGGACCTTGGGATTGACGAAACGCGGCAAAGCAAGCACCCCGACGATGGCGCCCCAGGAGGCAGCAAGCTCGTGCATGGCCTGCAAGATCAAAACTGCGGCGGTTCGGGGCACAACGCTGTGAGACGCAAGCCTGTATGTTGGAAATCGTGGCTGTCACCGGCACCTGCGTTTGCACGCCAAAGAGATCGAACAAATTGCACCCTGCTTGCAAACCCCGCCTGGCTGAGGTCGTTTGTGCCACCCAGCACCAGAACCACATCAGGCAGGTCACTTGGGGCCCGTGCACGGTGAAAGCTCGCAAAACGCTGCCGCATCCGCCTGGGATTTGCGTGCGACTCCAAATTGCTGCTGCTCACTTCCGGCAAGTGGAACGGCTTTTCACAGACTATGAGAGCAGGGGCTTAGAAGCTGCCCTAGGAGCCCTAGGAGCCAAGTGAGCAAGCTCAACATTCATGTCCCCCGTGCTCTCACGTCTCGCCCCAGACGCCCAGGACCTCCACCTAGCACATCCCGAAACCCCGGTTTCGCATGGCCTTGGGGATGCCTGGGGGGGGGGGGAGGCGCTGGCCTGGGCTCCCAGGAACTCGGCCAAGAAGACTCCGTAAGGAATGCTGCCGGCTCCAGCGGCCGTCAGCGAGTCACCGAAGGCCAAGATCGTGGCGTTGCTCCGTGGGATCTGGGCCGTGGGGCTTGCCCCAACAAGGATTCAACACAAGGGGCCCTGCTCCATGCAAACTTCTGATGGCTGTCGGGGCCTCCGGTGAGTGCAATATGCAGGTCACCAGATCCAAAGCCAAGGACAAGGCCAGCCGGGGGCCCATGAGACTCGCAGCACATCATGAAGGATCCGCCACATCGAGGAAGACACACCATGGCCAACTGACTCTACGTCAGCTTGAGCACTGGGAAATCCGGGAGGATTCAAAGGCTCAACTCCTTCAAATCCAAGCATCAACTCGGGAGGTCAGAAGGCACTTCCGAATTTCTGAGCACCCTGCGAGTCTGCCTGGCAGAAAGACCGGGATGGACGAACTGTGGCGTGAGGCGGAGGCCTGCGACTAGAGAAGCAGACCGGAACAGCACTGAACTGAGGACTCACGTTTTGACACCTCCAGCGGCCCAGCAAGGTGCCAGGGATGCGGCCTGGGAGGCGTAACAAAAACAGCAAACTACTGTTCATGGACAAAATCCTGCATGACCCAAGTATAGTATAGTACCATAATTCCCATAGTTTAGGTATGTAAGGTCATGCAGGATTTTCTCCATCAACAGTAGGGAAACGGGCTCTGCTCCGTTTGTCTCATGCTCAGCTGCCAACAACCTCGTCCCCGTTGATGTGTGCCAAGCTGTCAGCACACAGCCTATCGCGACATCTAACAGCTCTACCAGCAGATCACCGCAAAACAAGAAACATGCCGTGCTGCTGCTGGCCTGCAGAAGCATCACCTGGCTGCCCCAGATTACAAGCAACAACCTCGGGCCGGAATGCCATCACGGCTGTTGCATGTGAGCGAGGCAGCCTCTTCAAAGCTAAGGGTTGGACAAGCACCTCCTCTAAAACCACCATTTGTGTGAGCTGCGGGGGGAATGCCATCTCTGCTTGTCCAACCGACCAGGACAAGTTCTCGAAATCAAGGACAGTAAATGCTGGGAAACTGGCCAGCAATGTTCGGTCGACCAACTTCCAAAGTAGCACCCGACCGTCCGTGGTAGCTGCGGCCACTTCAGAACTAGAAGCACCCAAGGACACCAGTTGGGCGCATCCCTGCTCCGGCTCAACAAATGCAAGGACGTCGCTTCCCTGTACATGTGTGGAAGAACTGTGCTCGGAAATCGCAAGGACCTTGCAACCCACGGCCAAAAGCATGCATGTTGTGGCAGCCCGCGAAGACGGAGCCTCGCACCACCATTCCTGCGGCTCTATACAGCGACATGCGGCTTGAGGGCAACCGGGCAGGTCGATGAACTGGATGCGCTCGCCATCAGCGGCATCCAGCATTGCAAGTCCTGGTCTCGTACTCGGAATTAGTATACACCGTCCAACAAAACTCAAGGGAGCAGTCGAGGAAACGTTCATGGACCAAAGTGGCGGTGAAAGCCCTGGGCCAGCGATCTCTGATGTCAGGTCCCACATGCACAACAGCAAGGCCGGGCTCCCAGTCTGTATGGCAGCCAGGAAGTCTCCCGCCCTTCCCAGGTCAAGGGCCACTACGGGGCTTCGCGTTCTGATGACGCCGAGCTTGGACATCTCCGGCATCCCCCACAAGCGGATGCCGTGTTCGTGGCCTGTGGCCATGAGCCCAGCAGCGTCGGGGCACATTGCCGCACAGGATGCCTCCGCCGTAATCGTGGCTGACATGTCGGCTGAGAAAGCCGCCGCTGTGGCTTGGCCGCTCCCTGTGATCCACGCACTCGGAACTACTCGTGCCTGCCGGGCCAGCTGCTGGAACCTCTGTGCTACTTTGGCAGAACCAAGGTGCAAGCATGCCAACAGGTCGGCCCAGAGCAAAGATGCCCTGGCAAAGGAGAGCCAGCGATCTGGACCCTTTTCAGAGGGCAGTGGCATCGCTTCCCCGACATCCGAAGAGCCCAAGCAAAACAACGAAGCTGCGGCTGCCAAGCAGCAGAGACCCGTCAGATCGCAGCTGAGAAGGATGCGGGCGAGGACCGCAGCCGGAAGTGCGGACAACCCAGCGGCATGCGCATCGGCTACAACAGATGGTAGGGTGCCTGTCGATCCCGGAAGCTTGTGAAGCATGGCCTCAGCTCTCCGTCGAATCATTTTAATATTCACAGAACCGAACCGACACGGCTTCGTGCTCGCCCAGGGGCATGTCGGTCCCAGAGCACATCCGTTGCGCAAGAGATTCGCCAGATTCTTTGCCAACCGCACGGTGGACCTGTCGAGCCAGCTGCACTTCACCCTGCAACGAACAAAAATGACAATTTTGAAGGTTTCCGAAAATACGGGGCCCTAATAGAATACCCTTAATAGTAAGATCCTTATCATAAGGACCCGCAAAATAGCTCCCATTTCTTTAAGGAAGGCACATAAAGCTTTGGCAGCTCCAGGAGACCGTCGAGACTTTTCCTCCAGAGCGGACTGCCATGACATGTCGAGGTGCAACAGGGTTTAGGGTTAAGGATACTTTATTTTGGGGTCCAGATAATAAGGATCCTATTATTTCAAGTACTATATTAGGGTCCTGACGAGTGCGTAAAGAAGACAGAGAGACAGAGGCCGTAGGGACCGAAGCATCTCCGCCATCAGCATACCTCTTCCGTCTCTCAACCCGAATTCGCCAAGCGCACGGCGAGAGCATGACCGTCGCCCCAGGAGCACTCAACCAAAACGTCCCAAGCATTGAAAAGATGCTTCACCTCCACCGCTTCCACCACCTGGTCGTGGTGGATGTGCTCACATGTCGCAGGGCCACACACAGGCATTGAAAGCTTCTGCGCCGGTGCTTAGCTCATGGCAACCTGAAATGCCTCACTGGCTGTTGGGAAATGGCCCACCTGCACTGAGTAGCCACAAGGTAAGATGGTGTCGTGGCAAGGCACACACACGCCATGCATCGGTGATACCACACAGACGACCCTCCTGGAATGGCCTACACTTTTTCCGGGGAGACAGAAGCGCTTCTCAGCTTACCACGGACTGCACATCGGCCGACTGGCTACTTCGCAAATCGGAGCTCGGGAATGCGACGCTGTACATCTCACCGAAGAGTGTCCTTCCACGACCAGCAGAACAGGCACTTAAGCGGTGGCTCTGGGACTGATTGCTTCGACACATCGACTTATCCGATCTCCACACCTCGTCACATCGTCGGATTGCTTCTGCAATCCCGCGCGCTGCCTTGCGGAAGCCCGCGCCTTTGCCTTAGCCGGGCAAGTTTGAGCCGCTCCACAAAGAGACGTTTGAGCGCTTCGAGGGTCCGAGGGCTCCACGGCCTCAAGGGCCTGCTGCGCCACGCCGGCGCCCTCCAGCGAAGCCTCGAAGCCGAAGCGGAGCAGGGCTTCCTTCTGCGGGCCGAGCGCCACCTGCATTTTAGTCATTATGGGGTTTTGCCGCTGAGTCTCGGGCATGCCAGGCGAGGCTCTTTTGCGAGACTCACTCTTGGACATTCATTAAGGTTAGGGAGGGTGTTTAAGATGAGAATTGGCGGGATTTTAAGGCATCTTGCCTTGGGCAGGTGCCGCCTGAAGCTTTCCACATCCCAGCGCACGTCTCGCGCAAGCTTGGCGACTTGCTGCTGGAATCCAGGGTCTTGGTAAGCGGAAAGCAAGGCATCCAGCAGGTCCTCAGCGGGGCAGAACGCTCAGTCCATCTGCCACAGAGATATTGTTTCCTAAACCCCTTTTGCATCCGGGCTTGTGAAGTCTAGGAAACTCTAAACCCCAAACTTTTAGGGGTAGCGAGGCATTTTGTGGTTTTCATGGTCAGAAGCAGCGTGAACTGAAATTCGAGCCAATTCACTTAAACCTTTAATTTAACCTGCCAGTCCATGATTCTGTTTGTGTGAACACGGAGGATCAGTCGGTTAGGCTTTCGTGGGATTCGGGCTCCCGTGGGGAGGGAGTCGGGCTTAGGCTTTCGTGGAAGGGATTTTGGGCTATCGTGGGGAGGATTTCGGGTTTTCGTACAGACATTTGGGCTTTTGTGGGGAGGATTTCGGGCTTTCGTGGGGAGGATTTTGGGGCTGTCGTGCGAGAGGAATTGAATTCTGGCTTTCGTGAGTTTTGGTGGTGATTCCAGCTTTTGTGGCGACAATTTCGGGCTTTCGTGGGATTGTGGGCTTTCGTAGGGAGGGATTCATGCTTTCCTTTCCAAGACGTTCAAAAAAGCACCTAACAGGGGCGGCACCGTATACCTGTCGGACTTGTCTGGGACCGCACTGGCGAACCCTAAACCCTATACACCCTATACACCCTATACACCCTAAACCCCTGATCCCTGAAGCCTGAACCCTGCACCCTAATACTAACAAGCAAACAAGAGAATCGAACTGAACCTGGGCCCGGGCTCGGATGCTCCGTCATGCGTCAAGCAGAAATCCCCAGGCCTTGCGCGACTCCTGGAGGACTCCGCGCTGTCTGCGCTTTCCGTCAGGAGGCTGCTGAAGTCCACGCTGAAGATCAGCTGAGCCTAGGCAGCTGCATGCAACACGAGAGAAACATGGAGGCATCGAGCAGCCTCGTCTTGTCCGTCGAAGAGCACCTGCGATAAGATGAGATTCTAGTGTGATTAAACCCGAACACTTTCGGTACGATCAGACTTTGCTGGGCAATGCGTCTGATGACGCAATCGATTCCCGCGATCATCCATGTGTCTGGCCGACTAGACGCTTCCGCAAGGAGTGGTGCCTTGATGTCACCATCACCGTCCACCTCGACCACCGTGCCCCACTGTCCAGCATCTACGTCTGCCAGCATCTCCCGTGCTTGCACGCCTCGCCCGGCGCCGTACTCTGGCTACAACATATGTACATTTTGCAAGGAAAAACGGAAAATCTTACACTATCCTTTACACGCCGGAACTCTGCCGAGGGGCGATCTCCGACGGCAAAGCATTTCGTCACCACAGGAGCAGCACTCGAGACTGCGCGGGAAGCGTCATTCAGCGCTGCATCTTCCTTGGGCGACCAGCACAGAACAGCACATGTTTCGCACCGGCACCGACGAGTGCCGGCCGAATTCGTGCTGAGGCGGTGACCATTTCCAGTTGCAGCAGCTCTTCCTTCTACAACCGTGCACTTGGGACAGGAGAGGTCTCACAGTTGGATGTGTCGTTGAGGGTTCTTTCCTTGTGGCTGCAACTTCCACCCTGCAGAAAACTCAAACCCAAACAGGTGAAAGGTCACATATTCAGCCACTAGGCCTCTGCACCGGTGGGTGGCAAACTGAAGCTTGCGCAGCGGTTTGCCATGCATTGGCAGAAACCGGTGATAAGTGTGAGATACTTGCGGGCTGCAGGCCCATTTGCGAAGAACATGCTAGTCACAAAGAGTGCGACAGCCTCAGGCCTGCAAAAGTCCCTTTACTTGATCAGGATGTGCTTTGCTTGGGTCTCGGACGCTGGGGGCAGCCAATGCAAAAGTTATTATCATGCTCGACGGCGGCAAGAACACGCTCGCTCAGTGCGGTGCAAGACGGCAAGGGTGCTCCGCATCTATCTCGAGACTTCCACCGACGTAAACAAAGCATCACTACGAAGACCACCCCTTGATTTGTACTTTGCGTTTCTTCAGCTTTCGCGTCCTCGAGCTGCTGCAGTTCTTTATCATCTTCGTCCGTTTCCTCAAGAACCGTACAAGCACACATATAAACACGGCATACACCAGCAAACACTGCTTGCCAATCGTTGCAAGCCTGGTCCAGCACGCGGTCCAGGCTGCCATCCATCTCCAAGGAAGGAATTGTGTCCTGCAGCACCCATCTTCTTCTGGAAACTATTCGCACCTTTTGAGGAACACGGGCTCCTCTGCGAACACTCGCTGTTTCAGGGCTCTGCACATGGCGAGACGCTCTGTCTGCGTGTGCTTCGCCGTCAAGGAATCTATTTGCTCACCTAGCAAACGCGGCAGCATGTCGAGGCAGTCACAAACAGCGAATCGTGGCAACAAGCTCATCACAGAGGTTTCTTTACGGAGGATAACTACAAGGTTTGGGGTTCGTACGGATGCAGTCTCTCTGTGCGACTCAATGGGCTTGTCGTGATATCGACAGGATAGCTAGCTACTGCATGTCTAGCCCTGTCAAGTCAATAAAAGAGAAACTCAGCCCCAGTTGCGGCGGGTCCCGACATCTCGAACCAAGCGGGCACGATCAGGACGTCCAACTGCAAGAGCCTCGATGTGCTCCAGCGCCTCCTTTGCCTCTGGATATCGTCCTTGACATGTTGTCAGCCTCCCTTGACAGCCCAGCGTCTCATGCTGTGCACATCTTGAGAACCACATTCGGTGTCCTAGGCCTTCCAACGCACAGGCACGTCGAAACCATGATTTTGGATCCTGCTAAGATGCACCGGATCCGGGGCGGAGACAGAGCAAAACAAGGGAAGCGGCAGCTCACAGGAAGGCCTCGTCGTCTATCGCAAGGGCATCCTCTGACGCTCGCAAAGCATCTGACCAATGCCCAAGCTTGATAGCTGCCTGGCACAAGCCACACCATTAAGCTCCCTCCTTCCTTGGTGACAGAGCGACCAGCCTGTGCAATGTTCTTCAGCAAAATGCAATGCAAATCGCTCACCATTGCATTTCCTGGCAGCCGGCAAGCCCGATCTGCACTCGACACACAATGTCAGGGCAATTTTCTGATCGACGTCCTGCATCACCCTCCGGCAGTCGTTTGCGGTACAGGTGAGCTTCTGCTTCGCACCAACTACGGAAAGCCTCCTCGACGGCACCTTAAGAACGACAATGCCACTACGCCACAACGCTCCCCGCGACCGACAAAGCTACGGACTACGAACCCTGGCACCTTTGTGCCATTCGATATAACCATCTTTCCGGAGCTTCTGCGCTTGGTTCATGAGCTTTGCCATGGTGTCGGAATCCAAGACCACTGGTGTTGATCTTTCCTCCTCTTGCTTGATGCTGGCGTTTGTGCGTATTCGGTCCGTGGCACGTGCCTGTCACGAGGTCTATCCGTCTGTTTGCCATGGACCCGAAAGCACTTGATACTCACTATGACAACTCTCGACAGTCAAAACGGTGCCACTTGTCGCCGCGAGCACGTTGTACTCCTCTAAAAGCTGCTCAGCCACTTGCGGGCCGCCGTCTTCGAGCTTCAGTCGAAGGGATTGCAACTGGTGCACCTCGTGCGGCGCAGCCAAACTAAGCCAAATCCGTGCTTTACATGACTTCACATCACGTTTCAAAGCTCGGAGATCTCAGGAGGGGACCTGATCGGGTCGTTGAAGAACTTCGCTTAGCGGAAGCTGCTGTGCTCGAGCAAGTTTTAGACTGTTCGTCAACGCGATTTCTGTGATCTTGTACTTCCTGGTCAGACACAGCCAAAGCCTGCTTCTCATTGCCAATACGCAAAGGACACATGACATGAATGCGGCTCGAGAATCAGGATGGGCGTAACCTGCCGCTTTACGCTGGGAGGGCATGCCTCCAGTTCTGCAGCTAGCTCTTCGCGAATCATGTTGGCAAGCGCAACTTGCTCATATTGGCGAAGCCAGAGCTTTCTCCGTTGAAGCCAGTGCTGCTCGGATCGAAGAATAGCTTTCGCGTACGGCTTGCGAGAAGCGTTGTCCCAGAATTCTTGGTGCGTCTCATCAAGCAGCAGGTTAGGATTGACCCGTGGGTCAACCTTTTCCAGCTCGATTTGTCTCAGCATCCACTCTTTGGTCCAATGGTCCGGAATCTTTGGATACCCCAGCTCATCAAACTCTTTCTGGGACATGTGTCCTCGTAACGGGCTGACGACAGAACAAAAGCAAGTGAGCGGAACATGTGTACAGGATTGAACCGTACTTCATTCAGCAGCTTCACGCTCTCGGACTGGACCCCTAGCTCGAAAACTGTGCTGACCTTGAAACGGTCCGAAGTTGGCCGCGCAAGCAGAGCCATCACCACAATCGGCTGTCACCATGGCTACCGTCTACGTGGCAAATGCGGTGCTATTGGCATCTGTTTATATAGCAAGAGATTATATACAGCACGGTACAGGGAAGTGAAGCTTCCATCACTTTGTCGTCTAAAGCAGGAAAGCGGTGTTGAAGATCATGCAAGCTTGCAAACCTCTCCACGGATGCCGTCGTCGTCCAGCATATATAGGACGAATAAACACCAGCTTCGATGCATGCTCACACTTTCCCAAACTCCGGTCCCAGCCTTTGGAGCCATGGACCGCTGGGAAGCAGGAGGAACGAGGATTGACGTCTAGGGTGCCAGGCCGTGTTAACGCAATTGATCTGCACTTTGGTTTAACTGCCCTACAACCGTGCACATCTTGAACATATTCATGAATTACATAATGGAAGCCCATGATGGCCCTGAGCCAATGGCATCGGAAATGCAAGCTCAAACAGCTCACTTTCACAATGGCAGCTGCCACGGGATCAACTAAGCACTGCTTTTTCTGTCCCACGCGATGTTCACAGGAATGTCGGATGTTGCTATGCTACTCCAGGTCACGCTGCATTTGTTGAGCTTCTCGTTCCAATTCCTTCCTCCTGATATCTTGCGGAAACCGTCGCCGCATCACGGCTCCTGCAGTGACTGCATCTGGCCCAAACCACCTCTTCAAGAGCCATTCAAAAGCCGCTGGGAAGGCAGATTGCAAGATGGCGTTCGCCTCTCGGGCTGTCATCCTGGACTCGCTAAAGCGGTCCATGTGCGGCATTAAGTTTGTTCTGCTCGGGGCTCCAACGCCCAACTCGATGCGCAACGGCTGTTCCACGGATTTTTGACCTGGACGGAACTGAGGACACACGGATTCCAGGACTGGCTTCGCCCACGCCGGTGCTTTTCGAATTCCTTCCGTGACGGCAAACTTCCCACACGATCTTCGTGATTCGGCGTGAGCAATCACAAAATGGTCGGAAGAACGAACCCCGACATACTTCAGGCACTGTTTGGCAGCCATCGGTGCTGATGACGCCCCCGATGCCGAATCATGCCACAATCTGCACAAAACGATGCCACTTCCGTGCTCTGCAAAGTCGGCCAAAGCTGCACTGGTTGGTCGCCAAGGGCCAAAACCATGAGCTTCTGCGACATGCTCAACAAATGCGCGGCCAACGTGGGCTCTGAAAAACGGAAAGTCGGTTGACAGCGAGCCACCCAAACCAATGATGCAGCGATGCGTCATTGCAAGCCGGAGGCGGTCTCAAAGCGATGGTCCCTATCGTTTTATATATAACAAGTTGCCGCAAGATGTCGCTTGCTACCACATAAGACCATCGGCATCTGTGGACGAGATGTTGGATGCAAACCTCACGTGTCAGATCGGCTAAAGTGATTGCCGCTATGCATCCTTTTTGGCAAGTCTTGCCCGCCACGGTGTTGCAGCCGAAAGCAGCCGCGACACATGAAGCTTTTGAAAACCTCTACCACTACCGCTTGTGACTAACACTCCCACTGTCATCTCTACTACCACTATTGCCACTGCCCCTACACTACCGCTACCACGACGACTGCCACTAACACTACCGCCACCACTTGAACTACTACCACTGCCACTATACCACTGCCACTCCTCCTCCTCCTCTTCCTCCTCCTCCTCTTCCCCTGCTCCCGCTCCTCCATCTCCTCCTTCTCGCTCCCGCTCCTGCTCCTCCTGTCTTTCTTGCATTGCTCAAATTAGTCGCGGCAATGGCAATCGCAGTGGCAGTGACAGTGGCAATGGTAGTGGCAGTGGCAATCGTATCATTGACGCAGGAAATCTTGCACCAGTTTGAGAAGACCCACAATGCGAGTACCTCGCAACCCTTGTTTAACATGGATGTCCAATCCTGGGACGGGCCGTGGGTTCCACTCACAACAACCTAGCACCAGCCACACGGCACGCTATCATCAATATTAAACAAGGGTCCGAAGTGCTGGTGGTGCTAGTGGTGGAAATTAGCATGGCATGCCCACGCACGGGGCTGCTTGCGCGCCGGGCCAAGATCGTCGAGCAGGTTCCGTTTTTTCCCCCACACACCTTTTTGCTGTCTACGCGGTCCGTGTGCAGGTCGCCCGAAACCAAGGCCAGACTACGGAGGCCACTCAGGGCATGCGGCTGGCAACAGGAGGGGCCGATGGTTCGGCAAGGAGGTCGCTGAGGAGCGGGGGATCTCCCGCGTAGCACGCGAAGCCATCGGGCCCGAAGGGCAGGTCGTCCTGCAGCAGTGGCTCACGCACACGACCGCCCTGGGAATGGCGTCGGGTGACCGCCGCCGACTCGACATGGTCATCTACGGCGTCACTCCTTGGGGAGGAGGGCGGGGGGAATGTATAAACTCAGGGGTTTCCGGCTATGCATTTCAGACGAAGTCTGGATGAGGTTCTCACCACCAGTAGCAGTACCAGTAGTAGTGCTAGTCGCCCATGACAACCAATGCCACCGCCAAGCGACTACCACTACCATGACTGCGGCTTGACAAACACAGCTTCTGCTATTTTAACAACCATTGCCCCTGCTGACAAGATGGGGACTGCGTGAGCCGGACCTGCTTTTTTTTGTGGAGACTGCGTGAGCCGAGTGGAGCCGAAACTACACATCCGTCCGACACCATTACAGACACAAAAAAATTTGGCCCCACTAGCGCACGGGCCCCTGGAAAGTCTTTCTTACCAGAGCCATTCTCTAGGCTAAGTAAGCAAAACTGTGGGTTCAAGCCTGATCATTCCTCTATAAAACGGGGTGGGTAGTTTGCGGAGATGAGGGAGTTTAGGGCGTAGGGTCTGGGGTTTAAAGTTTTTTTTCCACGCACCTTTTACGACTGCGCGAAAAAGTCCGGGTCCCCGTGCAACTGCAAACTACGGACCCAGGCGGCTCGGGGTGGGGGGGACTGCGTCGTGCAGAACGTCCCCGAGCGCAGGGGGCTGGAAGCCAGGCATGGCTCCAGCAACGTATGGCGTGCTAGCGGCGCCGCGCAGGGCGGCAGGAGCGCGCTGGGCTCGGAGCCGTACGAGCTGGGAGACGAAGCGGAGCGATGCGGCGCTCCAGCGCCCACCAGTCTCGCACACAAGGACGCAGAGCCGCTGGGGTCCAGGACGCAGCAGCTCGGGGCACGCTGCACGCTTGCGCCTCTCAGCGACAGCGACAACGGCACCGCCGCGCGTCGCAGCAGAAGGCTGCGGGCGCCCGTCCCGTGTCAGCGGGGACACCAGCGTGACGTCGCAGCACAAGGCCTCGCCGAGTGGGGTAGCCCCGTACGCAACGAAGTCGAGGCGGCGGCGATCAGCAGGATCAACGTCGGGGGCCGATGTGCGTGCGAGCCATTGTTGCGGGACGACCTGGCCCTCAGCTCCGACGGCTTCACGAGCAACGCGCACCCAGGCGTGCTCGAGGGGCTTGGCTCTGTGGGCGAGCAGACCGGTACGGGGACAGGCGGCATGGTGGTCGCCGTAAGCATCGACTACTGCACCGCAGCCGTGGCCATATTCGCCGCGATCTGTGTGGGGCGACGGGCAAGGGCAGCCGCAGCCGCTGCCGCAAAGCTATGAGCATGCGGTCGGCCGGCAGAGCAGTGCCAGCCTCGCACGGGGTGGCGCTGAGCCGGGCTGCAGCGTGCGGCCCCGATTGTGAGCGGAGCATGGCCTGGGCGGGGGCTGGCAAAGCGGGCAGCAGCTCGGTTTCGCGGAAGTAGTTTAAACACTACACCCCTAAACCCTAAACCCTTGGAGACCCCTCGTAACCAAAACATATGCTCCCTGAGTGTTCCACCTGAGTGTTCCATGTCTACGGATACTTGCTTCAAACATCGTCGAGTAGACTATGACCAACTATACCGTGCCCTTCGAGCAGCTTGAACACAACCGCTCCACTTTTGTTTTCGAACCCAAGTCAAGTCAATCGGACCCCCCTCCAAAAACCCTATCACCCAACGGCACCCCGACATTGTATATAGACTAAAGGGGTACACCACCCCCCCATGTATACATTGTTAAGCGTGGGCAGGTTCAGCCGCAAGGACGCTCAGCGGACGAAAACGGCGTCGCGCTGGCCACGGCTACACGCCGCAAAAAGGCCACATACCCGGAGTTGCTGCGCGCCTTGTTGTACTCGGCCCGGAGGTTGGGGCCCGCTGGGGCACGGGAGCCCTGGCTCTCGTTCGTTCGCCTCCAAGAAAACACAGCAGTGGTTACTAGTTCTCTTTTCCCCACTTACCTTTATCCGCTAGCATCTGTGTCCGGCTATGTCCGGCTCCTCGGTCCCGGTTAGGGCTGGCTCAGCACAGCGGCAGGCGGCTCGGCCCTTCCGGTCGCCAGTCTCTTTTTGCGCCAATTTTCATCCAGGGCCGGCGCATCAGCATGTGCCGGTCCCGGCACGGCCCGTGCGGATCAACCAAGAGCAGTCCTCCACCAGCGGCGCGCCCACGCAGCTTTTCCAGGCCCGGAGCTCTGTGCCCGCGGAGGGCGCAAAGGCTCCCGACCAGCCGGACTGCGTCCGTGTTCCACCGCCCACCCATCTCACAGCCGAGCACGCACAGAGCTCAGGGTAGGTGGCGCGTTTGCGCCGGATTCTGGTGCGGAAAACAGCTCCATCTTGCACGGCCGAGCGGCGAGGCGCGAGCGGCAGTGGAAGCCGGAGCCTGCAGCGCACCGCGATCTGCATTGTTTCGGGGGAGTGAGCGAAATGTGGGGATGTGTGGGGGTCGCTGGGGGCTGCGCAGCAGCATGTGGACCGGCCTGGGAGTGCAGAAGCAAGCGGTGGGGCGTGGCAGACAAGGCAGCAGCACGTGTTCCCGGAACCAATGGTTCCATATACTGACGGCAGAGACGAGTCCTTGTATAGTGGTAGGAAATAGTAGCCGTACCAATACTTGCAGTTACTAGCAGCATCAGCAGCAGCAGCAGCAGCAGCAGCAGCAGTAGCAGTGTTGCATTGCAGCAGACTATCCCAGAAAGCAAAGCGGCGCCTCAAGCGAGTCAGAGCGGTCGGTTGCCATTCAAAAAAAAACGAATCGCCGTTTAGATTGGCCTATCGGAGCTGGGAGGCTGGTAGCGAAGGAGTGCCAGGCTGCGGCAGCAAGAAACCCTGCTCAAGATACTACAGGCTGCACGTTGCGAGAGGGCTGTGCTTCGCCCGTACCCGTGCAACCGGATGAAAATGGATGAAGGCCCGATTTGAACCGGTGATGGAATGCCGTGAGCCGACCCAAAACAACAAACCACTGGCTATACATGCTATACTTTCTACGCTCTGGAGGCCTCGAAGTGCAGGTCTCGGACAAGGACGTTCGTAGGTAATTTATTTTCCTATGCAGACCTTAGACCTTCTTGCTTTCATTTTGCACACCTCTTTACGACTGTGAACGTCAGGGTCCCTGTGCGACACGCAAGCAGCCTATACCTCCTGCGGGTTGGGAGGCGGCTGCTGGCGGGTGCTTGCAACGAGCGAAACGGCGAAGACTCGCTGTACGGCAACCGAGAAAATGCCACTCCCGCGGCGCACCCAAGCGGCCTGAGCAGCGCGGCGCACAAGCTGCGCGGGCTTCTGCGAGAAGTCGAAAAAATGTCGCGGCTTCTTCCTTCCAAAGCTCACCCGTTTCAATGCCGAAAGCGAGACGGCGGCAGCTGCGGGCACGGAGCAATTCAGATAAGTGTGCCGCCGCTTGCGCTGTGCCGCGCAGGCTAGCGAAACTCCTGGTTGAAGCCGTCCCGGGAGTGGGGAGACGAGTGTCGCATCAACGGCGAGCCGAGCTCCGTGCCAGACGGGCAGGCCACTGCAACGAGCTCAATCCTCCTGGCGTCGCTGACCGGTGTCAGCAACGCGAACATTGCGCACGATGCGCGCCGGCTCCGTTGGTGTCGTCTGGACAGGCGGCTGGTCCACAACGGCTGCCGTGTTCGATCGTTGCATCTGGATTTTCGCAAAGGGCGCCTGTGATGCTCCAAGGACAGGATGTAAACTATTGCAACGAGGCAGTTCAGCTTGGCATTTCACTCGATACGAGATTCGATGGCGGAGCTCACCTCCAGCTTCTCATGTCGCGCGGACCAGGCCGAATGAAATGCCTCGTTGCTGAGCTTATGAATCTTGGTATGCCTATGCAAGCCTTGATTACGAGCATGCGGACGCGGATGACCCCTATTGGTAGTCCAAGTGCCGTATGCGGACAAGCACCTCAATGCCCTACAAGCCAAATGGTTGCGCTCAGC